CTCATTACCATGTCCTACATGTTCCAGCTGCCTCAGTCTCCCTAAATTATGCTAAGACATTTTCTAAGTTTTACATTGTTGCTCTGTACTTTTCCTCCCAAGAAGCACTAAAGATTGTTCCCAGTCCCAAAGAGAGGAAATGCCTGATCCCAGAATGTTAGTCTATCGATGTTTCATGTCCCCTGGACCACTACTGAAAACTGTATCCTAAACTCTGTTGTCAAGGGCCAGAGTTACCTACCACATATATTTAAGATGTATTGAGAGAATACTGATTACAGGAAATTAGTACTTATTCTGGCTAAGGAGAGTTATGAGGTATAAAAGAGAGATATTCAGCACTGTACATTCTCATGTGCTTGCAGAGTTTTCCTTCCTAAAATGCCTGACTAGTAAAAATAAAACAGCAACAGAAAATAAATTCCAAAGGAATGAAATTCTGCTACTTGGGTGAACATGCATGGAACTATATGACACCATGCTAAGAGAAATACACTAGGAACAGACAGACCAAAACATATTTCATAGACTGGTTACATAGATGTGAAAAGTCTACTTCACAGAAGTAGAGAGCATAAGTGGAAACAGAGGCCAAGAAGAGCATGGGAAAGGACAGAGACTGATGGCCCAGTACCAAAACAGCTACAGAAGAGAACCTTAGACTTTACTGTGTATACCTAGCTATGTGAACAGGTATACGGGTGGACAAAATCCAATATTCCAGAGAGGAGACCAAGAGAGGGCAATACAGGTCAGGAAGAAGAATGAAAGATAGGCAAAAAATACACAAGCCACGAAAGGGGATATAAAGGTATTTTTATTTTCTACGTTCAAGTCTGTCATATGTAGGTTTTTCTTTCTTCTTATCAAGGCAGGTAAGTGAATTCAATTTTCAGCTCTTGGACAAAATTATGATTTGCTATTATTATGGAATTCCTTGTCCATCTGTAGTCTGTTAGTTGACCTTAGAAGTTATAATGAACCAACAAACTTCTTGGCAGAATCTGGCAGGAAAAACAATTCATTCTATGTTTTGACATGAACCTTCTCCCAGCCAGTTCCTGGACCAAACCTACCATGACCAAGTCTATTTGAAGTGCAAGAAAAAGATTAACCCCATATAAAGAGGAGGAATAGCTTGAACTATAGGCAAATCTCTACTAATACAAAAGCACAAGTTTATAATTTGTTTTAACAAAGCTGGCCTGGAGGTACTGCTCAGTAGTATGGTACTACCTACCATATGCAAAAGCCTTGGGTTTAACCTCCAACACCACACACAAATTAATAAATGAATGATTAAGTACATAAGAATATAGAAAAGTCTATCTCTGTATACTAATTACTCCCGCAGATTGGAATGTTCCCAACTAGCAAGGACACTATTGACAGGAGTTGTGGTGTTATGTTACAGATATCAGCCTAATGTATTTTACATGCCATTAGTTGTCATATTTAACAATTTCATTAAAAAAACTCAATGATCTTGTGTATAACTTGCTAATCTGCTTTTCTATCATAAAAATTTGGGGCAAAATTATTGAATTAACAAGTCCCCTTTTCAATTTCATAGTCTGAGAATAAATTTGGTTCAGAAAATTTGTAGCAGAAAACTAGGTGTTTTTTGAAAGTGTGTCCAGGGAGGTCAGCATGCACATGTGGAGGCTAGAGACCAACCTTGGGTGTCAGTCTTCAGGAGCCACTGTAATTTTTTTTCTTTTTGGAAACATGATTTCTTGCTGGCCAGGAGCTCATCAAGTAGGCTAGGCTGGCTGGCCAGGGAGTCCCAGGGCTCTGCCTGTCTCCTCCATCCAGCACTGGGATTACAAAGGAGTCACCAAGCCAGGCATTTCACGTGGGTGCTGGAGGACAAACTCAGGTCCTCATGCTTCTGCAGCAAGTACTTTGCTAACTGAGCTATCACCCCTGCCCCAGAAAACTAGTTTTGTTTTTTGGGGTGGGTCTCCCTGCAGCCCCAGCAGGCCTGGAACTATATAGAGCAGGCTGGATTCACTCTCACAGAGATCCATCTGCCTCTGCTTCCCAAGTGCTGAGACTTGTGGTACGCCACCATGTCTAGCTCAGAAAACTAGTTTTTAAAATACTCATTAAAACCAAGGTTTTACAGAGGCATGTTCCTTACCACTTAGCGTTTTAGATCTAACCGGGGGCAATCCTTTTTTCTGGCGTTCTTTTTCCCTTTCTCTAGCTCTTCGTTCACTTGAGTAAGAGCGTGATGATTTTCTCTTTCTTTCTCTTGAGCGGGAACGTGATCGCTTTCTATGCTTTCGTTTGCGAGAACCAGAACGTGACCTGGACCTTCGTTTTCTTGGCGACCTATGGGGAAAATTAAAGTTATTTTCCCCCTAAGAACAGTATCATCTTTAATCAAATGTCTTGACTTGGAGTTAGAAAGAGCAGTTATCTTACCTAGCTACCTCTTAAAACAGCCTATAGTGTAGTCAAGTATTAAAATATGCATTTTGCTCAAGTTCACATTACTCAAAATGTTTATTTAATGATTCTAAGTCCAAGGGATTATTCACCAAAAAACAGAGAAAGAAGGAAGAATGAAATTCAATTAAACGGCTCACTTTCTTAGTGCTTGCCAATTCATTTTCAAACCAAACAGGAATGAAAGACCAAAGAAAATTAAATGACTATTTAGATGACCCAAATGTCACCTATTTAAAATGAAGAAACAGAAGGCTTTCAATAGTATCAGGTCACCATATGATTCTGTCCAACAGTTCTCAGCATCCAAAATGTGCTGGGTCTTGGCTTCACAGGGTAATAATACTGAGGCACTTCCAACATTTACTCTGTGTTTTCAAATGAATTCACATGTCAAGGACAAAGTGTAAGAATTGTCAAAGAAAGATGACTTTGTTTTTATTATATGACATGTTTACTAAACATTTGTGGAAACGTTTGTGTGGCTATCTGTGGGAAGCATTTTTGGCATCACTGTGAGGTAATAAAGGATGTAAGAAATAGAGCTGAGCTAACAGATATATCTCAGAAGTAGGAACATCCTAAGTTAGGTGTCATCGGAGTATCTTCTACAATCAAATGACAGTCCCATGATATAACTGTTACTGTTACATATATTTCTTAAATGGCAGGCATATGAACAAAGATGGTCTTTCAGATTTTTACTTCAATTACTTTTTCCCACAATTATTTTTTTAAATAATCACTTTACAATAAGTACTTATTTTAATCTTGATGCAAAGAAAGCATAGAATACTGTTATTAAGGAACCTTGAACGAGATCGTGAATGAGTTCTTGATCTTGAGCGAACAGCCACTTTCTTAGCTTCTGGTTCAAAGATCTCCTCTTCTACAGCATCCTGTCCTTCGTCTATATCCATATCCTTGAAAGGCAAAAATATGAGGAAGCGAAAAGCCTAGTTTAGATTTGCTGTACAAGTGACAACTCTGCCTTTAAAATTATTCACAATACAGTTTAAAAGCCCAATAGGAACAAGAGCGAGGGTGTGGAACAGGGGTGAGAAAAATATTCGTACAACATATCACCATCATACAATGTTCTTATATGGTTTCTTTAAATGACTTTAAACATTTATGACTCAGAAAAGACTTTTACCTGTTGTTGTATATCTATGGAATCATCTAAATTTGTTTCAGGTTCAAGAAAATGTTGCTGGCTACTTCCTTGTGATGGTGATGCTGAATGTTCTGACCCAAATGTTCCCTCTTGGCTGTCCTGAGGAGTTACCTGTCGAGAACACACAAATATTCCGTGAGAACTTTATTACAAATGAAAACTTAAATATACCAAACACAACAATTAAATACTTAAGAGGAGTCGTATTTACGACAAATGATTTCTAAGGTAATAAATCTAAAATTTTATTTTATATAAATCAAAATTTACTGTTTAAAAGGAAGGCACCACGAACAGGGGGCCATAAATATTTGAATATAATGGTTACATGGATGTAGATCTTCATGTATATTTATAAAATGTTGTAAAAAGCCCAAATGTTACTCCCAGAATTAATGATTTAGCAAAGCTATCCTCGATTTGGTCTTTACCTAACTTCCTTCTCTAAGAATTCATAAAAGAGTAACAAGAGAGTACACTGAGATGCATACTAGTATAAAGTTTTCATACAAATTAGGCAATGAAGCCTAACTTCAAAGGTAAGGTAATATTGTTTGAATATTCCCTACTAGTATAATAATTACAGTAATATTATATAGTGTTAGGGCTTATTTAATGAGTATTAAGCTCATTAAATCACAAATACTATTTATTTTTAACTAAAATATGGAGAAACTCATTATCATGGGGGGGGCAACTTGGTAGAAAACTCTCCTAGAACATAATCTTGTGGCTGTCTAGATTCAGTAAGTTCCTAGTGGTGCACAGGCCAAGAACAGAGTACTATGGAAAGGAGCAGGGAAAACCAACGTTCCCTTGTTACAGATTATGTTCATGAACATCAATTCCCAAAGAAAAAGTATCTATATACATTTTAGAACTGCAAAAGTAATAAGGGTTGAGAAAAGAAATAATTCCATTAAAAAAAAATCAGACAAGATATGTATATACTAGTTTAGGCAGGCACTACACAGTTCTACGCAGATATAAGAAATTCTACCTGATTCAACAAGAAAGCATAGGAAGTGAGACTATCAATGAACTTAATGTTCACTTCTCATGGTTGTTCACCTGCTTATTAAGATGAGACCTGGGAAGCTCTATTCTTACAAATCATCAGGAGTCAGTTAAAAGACTGCCTGATCCATTAATTTTGCTTTAGTTGCATCACAGTTATTTCTAAAAGTCTGGGTTTTTTTACTTTAAAAAATACCTTCTGAGCATGGTAGTGCATGCCTTTAATCTTAGCACCTTCTAAGCAGAGGCAGGCAGATCTCTGTGAGATCAAGGCCAGCCTGGTCTACACAGTGAGTTTGACCCCAACTGGGGTTACAGGGAGACCCTGTCTCAAAAAGACCAAAAACAAGGGGCTGGAGAGATGGCTTGGCAGTTAAGAGCACTGGTTGATGTTCTTGCAGAAGACCCAGGTTCGAATCCCAGCACCCACATGGCAACTAACAACCATCCATAACTCTAGTTCCAGGGGATCCAACAGCCTTTTCTGACCTCCGTATGCACTGCACGACACGGGTGCACTTACCTACATGCAGGCAATACACGCATACACATAAAATAAAAATAATAAAATTTTTTTAAAAGACCAAAAACAAAACAAAACAAAAAGAAGAGAGAAGAATTTCAAGCACATTCAATAACAGAATAAATATGTAAGAGTGATCCTGAAAAAGTTTACGGGCCTTAGGAATTCAATTCACCATAGTATATATGATTTTTTCCAAACTATGAGTTCTATGAAGGGTTTATTTCAAAGTTCACAATATAAAGACTAACAAGATGGCTCAGGGGGAAAAGGTGCATCCAACCAAGGCTTACAACCTGGGTTCAATTCCTGGAGCTCACATGGTTGGAGGGAAAGAACCAGATTCTACAAGTTGTCCTCTGACTTCATGCATACGCTGTGGCAATTGTAGCAGTGCCTCTACCATACATACACAAACAAAATACATAATTTCTTTAATGCATGCTCACATATACTAAATAAATAAATAAATGCTAGGTATATTTTTTTAGGAGAACTTACCCTAGCTACAATCTGAAATCTATTTTTCATTAATCTCACTGCCATAGAAAATTACTAACACAATAGTGCACAGTTGCAATTTTAAGCGCACCTGACATTCTTCTCTAATAGTGTCATGAAACATGCTAAAACTGATTATTTTATGGACTGCTACAATAAAACAATTTCAATGCAAGATCAGGATTCCTGTCATATTTAAGCTGCATAGTAAACTATTTACAATGAAGTTTAAAATACATTAGGCTTAGCCGGGCGTGGTGGCGCACAGCTGTAGTCCCAACAGTTGGGAGGCAGAGGCAGGTGGAGCTCTGTGAGTTCAAGGCCAGCCTGGTCTACATAGTGAGTTCCAGGCCAACTGGGGGTACAGGGAAACTCTGTTTCAAAAAGACCAAAAAACAAACAAACAAAAAAATACATTAGGCTTACGAGGGCTATCTTTTAAAACTACCTTTTAAGTCCCTTAATATCTGAGGGAACAAGCATTTTTGGGGGGGAGGTGGGTCCTTTTTGAAACAGGGTCTCCCTGTAGCCCCAGGTGGCCTGGAGCTCACTATGTAGACCAGGCTGGCCTTGAACTCAGAGATCTGCCTGCCTCTGCCTCCCAAAAGTTGGGACTACAGGTATGTACCATTACGCCCAGCTCTACAAGCAATTTTTTTCAAAGCTGATAAATACATTCAGTCGAAGTCAATAGACAGGGGTCCCATGTATCACAAAAGAACTAAAAGGGCAACAAACCAGTGTCATCTTACAAAACACAAACATGTTCTACATCAACAACTTAAATGGCTAAATCAACTCTTAGATGTCAGGAAGGCTTTCAACTTCATCTTAAGTTTTGTTACATAATTCTTATTCTGACAGGTTTTTAAAAAATTATTTTTGATTTATTTTTATTTTATGTATATGAGTGTTTTGCCTGCATGTATGTAAGTGCACCCATGTTGTGCAATGCCTGTGGAGGTCAGAAGGGGTGTGTCAAGATTCCCTGGAACTGGAGTTAAGGAGAGTTGTTAGCTGCCTCATGGGTGCTAGAAAATGGAACGTGATAGAATGTGTGAATTGCAGAAGAGCCAGAAGCCTCATTAGGGAAAGCCATAAATCCCTTAAAGTGTCTAACTGGCTGACCCTTAACTGAAGTGTGGCCTTGCTCAAGCCTGGCTCTGCTCACCCCTTATCAGTTGGTCACTCCCAAGCCTGAGAAAAAGTGTTTGTGGAGCTCACCTGTCTCCTCTAAGGCCACAGATAACACTCTCCGCCAGTTTCTGGGGGAAATAATCTTGAGAAGGAGACCCTCAATCACTCCAAGGACACCAAGCCCAGGCACTAACTCAACTCCCCACTAAGTGCAGCTGTGTCCCACAACCCTGGTATAAGAATCCCCGTAGAAGCGTGGTTCCCGTGGACAGCCTCTACCCCTCACTGTATCTTTGTATAAAGGAAGGTCTATTCCTCGCCTGTGGCAGGTCTGGCTCTGGTTTCTTGTCTCCTATTTTTCTATCTTTCCTTTTATTTTCCAAAAATCTAACAGAACCTGGGTCCTCTGGAAGAGCAGCCAGTGCTCTGAACCACTGAACCGTCTCTCTAACCCCCTAATTCTGACAGTTTTTACATAGTTTTTACTGCAAACTCATCTTAAGCTCTGAAAATCATCCCACCCCACTTGAACTGTAAGTTTAATTAACTACTGAGCAGCTTAGTGCATGGTATAACCATAACAATCCACTGAAATTAGTTTTAGTTTCTTGAGTTTTCTTTTTGGCAGTTTTATTTGACATTACTATTTATTCTCTTGTACAGATCAGAAGAACAAAGAGAAAACTTACTTTAAGAAACTAAATTTATTCTATTATCTTCTACTTACAGCAGGAGACCTACTGGAACCTTCGCTAAATCTAAGAGACCTATTTTACTGTGTTTTTGCAACATTTTGCTATTTCATCATTCTCAAAAATTATTTCATGATTCCAACTATAACAAAACGTTTTTTTTAAAACTCAACCATTTAAGGATGATTCAGTAAGAGGTAAAATGGCAACAGTACTATTTACAGTCTGCTTTTAGTCTTTCTTTGAATGGTAGAAATTTAAAATATTTAACTTTCTAACTCATATTGGAAAAAGAAAACTCACAGAGGTAGAAGATGAATGCAAAGAAATACCACATTCTAGACTCTAATAATGATGGGAAATTAAACATGCAAGCAAAAAAAGGTAGGGCTAGGAATTTTCAAAGAGCCATGCCCTGAAGGTACTTCTCAGAGCAAAAAAACTAGTGCAGAAAAGCAGGCCTGTAAGGTCAAAAAAAACAAAGGAAATAACTTCGTTTCCTGAAACTACACAATTAGGACATTAGCATGCATTATTTTGCAAGAACTTGAAATATTCTACCTAGCCAGAAGAATTTAATTTAAAAAAAAAGGTTCACAAAATTCCCAAAAGTCATCCCTATTTCTTCAGTGTCACTTCTGTAAATTATTTGACTGAAAAAGCCAATAAGAAGTAAATAAATAAATATCCACAGGATCTAGACAGCAAGTGACATTTTTTTCTGTTCTATATCTTCAGCATATAAACCACTAGTTTCTTTAATTACACCTTCATAACAAAGTAGCAATAAAATATTGAAAAACATAAGAAGATCATAGTTAAGATCAGTCTCCACAATCTTCTTTTGAGACTGGCACTTAACATTTGTCTGTGTCCTTATACTTTCTCACATATAGGTACTTTTCTTCTTTTTTTCCCCTTCTGTAGAAATGATGGGAAAGAGTCTGTTAAAAGCTTTACCAGAATCATTCACTTGCGGTGGTGGTGCAGAGGCAGAACGATCTCACAAGCCAGCCTGGTCTACTGAAGGAATTCATGTCAAACTCACTACATTTATAGGATTTACACATCTGGGAACTCTTGCATCTTTGGCATCCTACTATGTATTTGACTCCATAGACAGTAACTCATTTACAACAACTCACGGCTCATAGCATCATGCTTGCCTCTACTCTCTCCACTGCATATTCTGAAGCAAAGTAAATGACACAATTTTGGATGTCCCATGGGCAGGGCTTCATTATTAATAGGGTGAAACAATATTTTTCTCACAATTTTTTTAAAATCTTACATTAGCATTTCATCTTAAGGTATAATTCTGGTGTCATCTTTTGATTACGCTAATAGAACAATTAACAAAATCATGAACTCAAACTCATTCTAAGAAATCACTCCTTTAGGATATGATTTCTAGTCCTTTCTAGCCCTGGCCTTTCCCCCCCCTCCCCAGAAACACTCTCTAGTTTTCAACATTCTTTAAATTTTATTATTATTTTTGGTCTTTTTTGAGACAGGGTCTCCCTGCAGCCCCAGCTGTCCTGGAACTCACTACGTAGACCAGGCTGGCCTTGAACTCAGAAAACTGCCTGCTTCTGCCTCCCGAGTGCAGGGATTAAATCCACCACAAACTGCTGCTGTGATATTCTGCAATGAGTAGAGTGGGACTATCAGCTCCATTCCTTTAAGACACTATCATAATTTTGGAGCCATTATATTGAGCTATGGGTCAACAAAAAATGCTTAGTTTCCCTGAAAATCTCATTTTATCTTTTAAAAAAAAAAAATTGCCCAGGATCCAGGACTTATCAGACAGTGAAGCTCGGCACTCCAGAACCTTTCCATTGACAGATGCAACTTGCCACGGGGTCACCAGCCCAGGCCCTCCTGCACCTCATAGGGTCCCAGGCTCCTCATTTTATATTTTAAAAAATTAGTTATTTGTTTTTATTTTATGTTTCTGAGTGTTTTGCCTAAGTGTACCACATGCATGCAATGCCCAAAGAGGCCAAAAGAGGGCATCGGATCCCCTAAAACTGGAGTTGAAGACAATTGTTAGCTTCTGTGTGAGCACTGGGAGAACCCAGGTCCTCTGCAAGAACAGCCAGTGCTCTTAACCACTGAGCCATCTCTCCAGTCCCACATTTCATCTTTTTTTAAAAAGATTTATTTTTATTTGTATATGTGTGCCAGTGCCCACAGAGGCCAGGAGAGGGTATCAGAACCCCTGGAGCTAGGGTTGCTGAGAGTTGTGAGGCCCCTGATATGGGTACTGAGAACTGAACTTGAGTCCTCTAAAAGAGCAACAAGAGCACTTAACCCCTGAACCATCTCACTCCAGCCCCTCATTCCATTTCAAGAGCACTAAGATGACTAGTTTGGTAGAGGCAATCACACAACTCATTACATTTACCTGTTGCCCAGTTAACTTACTTTCTGATTCTAAATCTGTCAGTTTTACATGATTTTTTCCTTCACCATTCCTTTTTATCATCAGGTTCATTTTGAACAACAGAGCTTTAAAGAACTTCTTTCCTGTAGGGGAGGGGGTCTAAATATGATGAAGATGCAGCGTATGAAAATTCACAAAAATTCACTTTTAAAAAAAGAAAGAACTTCTATTCCCTACAAAGGGATCTTATTACTTCATGTATCAAAATTCTGAAACGAATACATGGAGTAATTAGTTCTTTTTTTGGTAGGTGACATTCTTAGGCCAGACTTCCTCCCTTCAGGTTTCTGCTAAGTCTTATATCAATGACAAAGGAGTCACAGCTGGTACAACCTTGCCTTTACTGATTCTGCTAAACCTTCGAACATGGCAGTGACTAAGGCAATTCAACATGTATACTGATAGCTGAACAAAATCTGTTATTTGGATGGAAGCATCACCATCACCTTTTGCCTATATAAGCTTTGTGACTTACAGCCAGTTCCTTTGACTTAAACAAACGTAGCTTCCTTTTTTTTTTTTCCCCCAGTCTTTTTGAGACAGGGTTTCCCTGTAGTTCCAGCTGGCCTGAAACTTGCTATGTAGACCAAGCTGGCCCCGAACTCACAGAGATCCACCTGCCTCTGCCTCCCGAGTGCCAGGACTAAAGGCATGCACCACTACACCTGGCCAAATGTAGCTTCCTTTAAACAACAGCTCAAAGCTCTTATCTTCTTGGATTCTCACCTCTATAACCTAAAATAAACCTCTTACTCAGACCAATTCACAGAACTGGTTCATCAGACCAAGGTGTGTATCCATTCTTATATTTTTAAGAATGAGTTCCAGCAAACATCACTAATACACATTTTGATTACAGAAACAACTATAGAGTTCTCTAAGAAAATACCTTAGAGAGGAAATAAAGTACCTGGTAAAAACAAACAGATTTGGGAAAGTATTTCTAAAAACTAGAGTTGAACAAAAACCAAACATCCCACAAAAATGCCAGTCCACAGAAAACACAGCAGTTCTAGACTACAGTCAGGTGTGAACCTTTTGAGGCTGCTGCTGCTCCAGGAGCTGCTGTCTAAGGTGCTCAAGGTTCTGTTGCTGCAGCTGTTCTGCTATCTGATGAAAGATGGAGCTGTTCACAGAGTCTGACACGTGTGAGCTAAAAAGAGGAAAGGGGAAAAAAAATGTTTTTAAATGTACTAAAGGTAATATCAAAATGAGTATTCAGAGAAAACCAAACAAAAAATGTCAACCTGATGAAATGTACTCTATTACAACGTTTGCTTTTTGAAATACTAATGCCCCAAATGGAGTACTCTGGACCATTAATACATTAAAAGAGAAACAGATCCAATGTTTCAAAACGTTAGAGATGCTCTGTTAAAGAGCTGACATTACTGTCTCATGCTACACATATGTATAGACTATACATACAAATTAGTGGTTTATATTATAGCATTTAAAGAAAATCTCAAACACTTGTAAAAAAGGGTAAGTGTATATAAATATTGTCAATTTTTAACTCCTTTTAAACCATGAGACAGTGGGAAAACATTCTATCCGTATGTATAAAATCTACAATGATCATGGAACATCAGCTTTATACAATGTTTGCTTTAGAAAGCATCACATTATTAGGTATGTTAGCAAAAAGAGACAGTGTTTAGATAAGAGAAAGTAAAAATTTAACTGTACTCTTTGAAATTCACACCTGGAATACACCTGGAATTCCGGGTGCCATAAGGTAAGACATGAACAAAAAAAGGGCACCCCCAAAGGGGTGAGCCAGGTGGTGAGACGTCCTGAAACAGCTGAGAAGAAGAGTACGTCATCTGGAGCAAATAAACCTACAGGGAAGAGTGATACCTATCTTCAAACACTGACAGGCCACATCACAGGGATTAGGAGTAATAAGTTTATTCCCTTCTTCAGAGAGTAAAGTTTGAATCAGTGTAGAGAAAAGAAGGGAGGTGGGGGATTCTGTTCAAAACACAACAGCAGTCACTAAAGTCTTTTCTCAGAGGCATTGGATACACTGGATACATAATTATCAGGACTGTTCAAAGAGATTCTAATGTTGTTCAGGACACTGATCTATATGATCCCTAATGATCTTTTTCAACTTTACAATTTGGAAACTTTACACTGTTTTAAATTTTGTCAAGAAAAAATCCCTATATCAAGTATATGTATTTGTATTTTATATATTTAATAATACTATTATATATTATGCCAATATATAAAACGAGTAACCCTGCTGGAATTGAAGTCCCAGAGGCTGTTCTCTGCTCTAACCATGCCCCTCCTCCCACTCCCAACCTTCCTCACTCATGTCCTCCTCCCGATGGTCACCAAAGACCCTCACAAAACAGGGCTCTAGAATACTGTCGAAGAACACCACAAATAAAATACTCAGGGACTTAAAAATAGAATCCATTTTTTTTTCTTTTTGGTCTTTTTTTGAGACAGAGTCTCCCTGTAGCACCACCTGTCCTGGAACTCACTATGTAGGCTGGGCTGGCTTTGAACTCACAGAGATCCGCCTGCCTCTGCCTCCCAACCCAAGTGCTGGGATTAAAGGCGTGCGCCACCATGCCCAGCCAGAATCCATTTATTTAAATACACAAAAGCCATATAACCCCAATCCTTAATTTTAACTAGTTAGCACATCTCAGAAACTGTCATACTTCCTAAAAGTGAACCATGGCAGTAGAAGCAAAATTCTGTCCTAATACAAATATTCCTAGAAATAATTTAAGGCCAACAGAGATATAGAAAATATCACAACTAGACTTACCAATAAGCTTATTAATTTTCCTATAGGAAACTTTGATATAGCCCAACTATTTGCAAAGATCTGAAAAAGAATCCAAATAGTCTAGGGAGGTAATAAGACAGTAAGTCTAACCACCTTTCTGCAATGTTAGTGCTCACAGCTAAAGCATTTATTCAAGTTATTCAAAGCATATTCAGTGTTTCAGGTTGTAACACCCCACCCAGCATTTATAATAGCAACAGAAAAGAAATGACAGTTACAAAGAAAAACATAATTCTTACAGTTGAGGAGTAGGAATTTCCTTTTTGGGTTCTTCACTATGCTCAGAATCTTCCCCAAAATCAAACCTATCCATCAACTTCTAAGGGAAGGGAAGAAAGAGACAAATTAAAAAGTGCTTCAAACAAATGTTACCTATATTTTAAATTTCAATGGTACCATTGGTCTGTCTCAGCAATTTCAAGTTCAAGTGTCTCAGACCATTTTGTACTGTACTGTAACAGAATACAGCAGTATGAGTCAGTCTTTCCTATAAAGTGTGTTAGCGCACACAGCAGTCATCCTCATACACGACATCTTTCTGCAGCTGCACTAATTCCTCATCAGGGACAGTCTGAAAACATTAATATGTGCCTTGATTCTTTCAAGGGAAATCATATTCACATATTTTTATTAATATATTATCAGTTTATTTTATTGTTAATTTTCAATGTGCCTCATTTATTAACTAAGCATCATCTAAAGTATTTGTATCAGGTTAAACAAACAAACAAACATGGTATTGTGGGTATGGTGTATGGTGGCACACCTTTAATCCCAGCATCGAAGGAGGAGGGCAAGGCCAGCCTGAGATGAGGCCAGCCTGGTTGACATAGTGAATTCCAGACCAGTTGGAGCTAGAGGGAGACCTTGTCTCAAAAAGCTCCCTCTCTCCCCACAAAATCCCAAAACATGGTGTATATATATTTATATATGGTTCAGTACTAGCTCTGGTTTCAGGCATCCAGTAGGGGGTGCTAGAATGTATCTCCTGAAGACTAGAGCAACTACTGTATCATCATGCAGCAAAACAAATTATGAAATAGGCAAAGGCAGTACAGACACTAAAATTCTTATTTACGGAAGATAAAGAATTAAAATAATTAAGTGGCTTACAAATCGTAATATAACTTGATAAAATAATTAGGACCATATCAACATTATCTATTCCTAGACTAGTAAGATCCTTACTTTAAAATGTGCTCTAGCTACTTAAGAATAAATTAGACTTGGATGGTGCTGGCCAAAATAGTCTAAGAACCCAAGAAATTAGCATGTTCCTATGAAAAGAATATCAGCAGAAATAATATGCACAACCATGTATGTATGTAATTTAAATTTCTACCTTATTGAAGGAGACTCCCTGATCTAAGGGAGTAAGCGTGTTAGCTGCCGCAGCTGCAGCTGTAAGCTGTGCTGTGAGCGCCTGCAACTGAACCACAAGACCAGCATCCAGGGCCTGCAGGATGGAAGGCTGAGGCTTCTGCTGTTGTATCTGCAGGGTCTGTATTAGCTGCTGTAGCTGGGAAGGAGAACAATCATTACAAAACAGTACTGGGTCTTATCTATAACAGTGTCCATCAAAGACATTTTTTTAACCAATAAGTTTTACCATTCTATACAGAATAACCAATCTTTGTACTTCTGAATCTTTACTAAGTTTGTCCTGCTTTTGGAAAGTTATGAGAATTTTAAACAAAATAGTCATTCCATAACAAAGCAAACAACTCCTCACAAGTTAACTACCATTTTTCACCAAGCTTCTCATCCCGTCGTCAACTAACTCTACAAAGGTAAGCACTGACTAGAGTTTCGGCTAGCACTCAGACTTACCATCTGAGAACATACTGCCTGAATGCAGGAGAGAAGCTTGCTTGTTCAACAGAGAAGAGTCTGAGACTAACAAAATGAATCATGAATGATGAGCAAATGACAGCCACAGCACCCCTGAACCCACTACTCACCCATCCTTTAAAAAAAAAAAACAGGTAAAGGGCCGCAGAAAAGGCTGTGTATAAAGGTGCTTGCCTTCAAACTGCCAACCTGAGTTCACTCAATCCACAGGACTCACATGGAAGAAAGGGAGAAAACGCCTGCAAGCTGTTTGACCTCCACAAATAAGCCAGGGTACGTGCACACCCACACGTATAAGCACACAGACACAAAAACATACATAACAATAATACTCTTAAGAGTTCTTAAGAAAGCCCTACTACAGGCTAGAAATATGGCTCAAGATGGCTCTTGAAGATCCAGGTTCGATTCCCAGCACTCATGTGGCAGTTAACCATTTGTAACTCCAGTTCCAGGGGGTCCAACATCCTCTTCTGATATCCAAGGACACTTTATGACATGAGTGTACTTATATACATGCAGTCAATACACTCAAACACATAAACTAATAAATAATATTTAATAAAAAAAAAGAAAGCCTTACTACACTCCAACTTGGTAAGTACTAACCCTTTAACAATTACAGTTTCAACTTATTTCTAATGTTCTGCAGCAAAGGAGGGTAGTTATGGTGACAGCAATTCATTATTTTAAAATAATCAGAAATTTAAATGCTCCCAACAGAAAGAAATAAAAGGCTAGGCTGGTAAGTATGCCATGTACTCTGACCTGAACATTACAAATTACATACATGCACACTGTTTGTCAGTGTGTAAACTACAATTTCTAAAAACTTCTAAACCTAGGTTAACTAACAGTTATCAGTTTAGATTAGAAAAATAAAAACAGCAAAGCTAATAATAGCTAGGATAGTTATACTCTTCTAAGTTCAATTTGTAGTATGAGACGGCCAAATACTATGTAAGGTAGCAATGAATAATCTTATACCCATCTTTTTGTTGTTAATATTTTATTATTTTTATTTTATGTGTATGTGTGTACTGCCTGCATGTAGATAAGTGCACCCATGTTGTGCAATGCCCGATGAGGACAGAAGAGGCTATTGGATCCCCCCCGGAACTGGAGTTACGGACAGTTGTTAGCTGCCATGTAGGTGCTGGATTCGAACCCAGTGTCTTCTGCAAGAACAACCAATGTTCTTAACAGCTGAGCCATCTCTCCAGCCCCTCTTAATATCTACCTTAAAACAACACTATCATGAAACAAATTGGAGTCATGTAATTAACAAAACTACTAATGTAATCAAGAAAGAAAAAAAAACCCATAAAATAATGTGACTACTAAGGTCAACAAACACATCAAGAAGACAAGATACCTGGAGCTGGAGAGATGGCTCAGCAGTTAAGAACACTGGCTGCTCTTGCAGAGGACCCAGATTGGATTCCCAGCACCTACATGGCAGCTAACAACCATTCATAGCTCCGGTTCTAGAGAAATCCAATGCCTTCAGTCCTGACCTCCACAGGTATTGCATGGCACAGGTACACTTACATGCAGGTAATACACTCATACACATAAAATAAAACAATTTTTAAAAAAAATAGAAGACAGAGTTCTGTAAATCATTAGAATAAGGGAAACAAGGCAGCCGGGGATGGAGGGGGCCATATTCCTTCACGTACTAGATTGTCCCTTGGGACAACCCCGTGGTGTTACTTTTCCCCAAGTAACACCAATAGTCAGCATTTCCTCTACTGACTGTCACACTTGACTTGGACAGTACCCTGTTGTGTCAGTGACACAGCACCGGCACTTACTACATGCAAGTTAACTTGGAGCTTTGTATAGAATGAACTTTTTATACAAGCTATAAGGGACAAGCATTAATGTTCATCATGAACTACCAAATGAAAACTACGAGTCACAAGTGCTATGCATAGTGTTCCTGTTTTCATAAAGCACAATAACAAAACACAGCATTATCCTTAGGTGGTAGGCTATAAACAACATATTAGGAAAAACATTATTGACCTAATAGAACACTACTCACCTGTTGACCTTGAGGACTCTGTAAGATCTGAGCAACAGCTGTAAGTGTATCTGTGTTTGTTATCTGAGATACCCAAGGATCAGATAAGCCCTGGACCACATTGGCTGGAGTAGCAGGTGTCACAGGTGTTCCTTTTTAAAAAAGACATCACATACACCCAAATCAATACATAAATAAGACTTGAAAAAGCTGAAGAGATTTAGTAATTTATATCAACAAATTAATGTTTTCACTTTATTGTCTCCATCTTGAAAAACCATTTAAATCCTTTGTTATTAGTGGTTTTTTAGAAAATCCTCCTGAAAACCCACAGCAGTATCTGTCCATACTTGTCTTCAATAAATTAAGCTACTACTTTAATGAAGCCCATAACACTTAACAGTCATCAAAAATTTATATTGAAGAAAATTCTTTAACATGAGAAAATAATAAAAACAGTCTTTGATGATGAAAACTGAGTTTGTGTAAAATCATTTTCTTGTTTAAAACTGCTGATATATGGACATCAAAAACTATGTGCCAAAAAAGTTAACAAATTTAATTCTGGGTTCAGATTAACATTTTTAAACATCATTTAAATGACCCAAAGAAGATAGGATTTTGAAATTATTACTAAAACTGTCTTGGCTTTATTAAACAGCTTTTTGGGTTTTCTTAAAAATTAAGTTTCTCTAATTGTCTATAAATACCAAGTTGGTTTATATGCAGTTAAGGAGGTTACAAATAAGCTAAATCAAGAGAACCTCCACTAGGGTCTAAGGATGTGTCTCTGGGTAGAGTGATTCCATGACATACATAAAGCCCTGGGTTCAAGACCTAGTAACACAAAACAAAAGAACTGAGAGACATACTTTCTAAATTTACTATACTTATGCTTCTGGTGATTGAACAAAATTTAAAAAATTTAAAACCAGCTTTCTGTATTTTAGATCTACACAAAAATGTAGTAAGTGAATTAGTTTTCCTTCTCCAATCACATTTTCTTTCATTTAATGTCAGACAAATTCTCTAGCAGGGTCAGCTTGTTACTTTAGACATGAATAATGACAGGGCATAAAGTCTGACTGACACACTGGGTCTACACTATAGACACATACCTGGAGTATTGCTCATAGCAGCGGTAGTACCAGCCAAAACAGGTGTGACAACCGGAGGGGGAATCCCTGCCGCCATATCCAAAAGAGGCTGAATAATCTCACTCTTAAACACATTATTCTTCTGCCATAAGTTTAATACTCGTACTATTTTACTCTAAAAAGAAGGAAAAGCGACATTTTGATTTTCTGCCTTCAAAACCTTATCAGACAATTTCATACAGGTTATTCGAGCACAGGATGCAAAAGAGAAATTAAACACCTTCTTCAACAGCTCCCCGGGGGAGACAACTAGGCTCGATCTTCTATGTATGCCAATTCATATGAGCCTGTTGGCATGACTGCCTAGACAACTGCCGTAGAACTCTTAATTTTTTATGACTATTTTACGTGTGCACGTGCTCCATGGCATGCATGTGGAGATCAGAAAACAACTTTTTGGAGTTGGTTCTCTCTTTTCACCTTTATGTGAATTTCAAGGCTTGAACTATGGTCACCAGGATTGCATAGCAAACACTTTATTGCTGAGCCATCTTGCCAGCCCTGCCCTAAGAATTCTGAGGCAGAGTCAGGCTCTGTATCTTAATACTGAAGCTACACATACATAAAGGTGAATTTAACTTTGACTCATACAAGGATTACCTACTGAACTTAAGAAAAGAAACTTCAGGGCAAAGTCCTCAAGTTTCATTTTATAAACTACCTAAACATGGGGGGGGGGGGAAAAAACCTGTGCTTAGCATGTGGGCAACAGATTTCTACCACAAAAAAAAAAAAAACAAAGCAAAACGCCAAACTGACCATAAATGCTATTTTTCCCCCATCAACATTTTAAGCCTGAGACAACCAACTTTTCTATGCAGGGAACTGGAAGCAAATCACTGTCTTCTCTTCTCTACTCTCTCCCCTGATGTAAAATGTCAATGCCACATGGGTATTATTTGAGCTGGCCTTCAGAGTAAGATTCATGGTCTATACCAGTAATGCTCCACAAAACTGACCATAAATGCTATTTTTCCCCCATCAACATTTTAAGCCTGAGACAACCAACTTTTCTATGCAGGGAACTGGAAGCAAATCACTGTCTTCTCTTCTCTACTCTCTCCCCTGATGTAAAATGTCAATGCCACATGGGTATTATTTGAGCTGGCCTTCAGAGTAAGATTCATGGTCTATACCAGTAATGCTCCACATTATGTCCTGTCATAGAGAGTGGTCTGAGTCCTTCACCATTCTCTAAAGAAAACATCTACATTATCTGTCATTCCTCTCTTCCTGACAGGTCCTTTACCTTTACAGCACTGCATCCAATTCACTCCTCTGGTAATCTCAACCCACTCCAATACCTCCAGATATACCATGTTTGTGTTTGATTCTCAACCACTTCTAGGTTACTTAAGTATTTAGAGTACTTCATAATTTCTGCAAAGCTGATGAAGACATGTAACATTCATGTAACTTCTATAAAAATAAAATTCATGAAGTATATGCTAGCTACATGACATTTCCCATTTACTTTGGTCCGAGGCAAACAGCACCAATAAATTTTAAAAATTTAAACTCTCAGTTTCATCATTTATAAAATAGGACTAGAAGATTTTTCATGGTAATATTCAGAATTTTAAACTGTATAAAAACTCTTTGCTGGCTATTTTGAAGATCTTAGCTATTTCCAAATTTAGGACAAAGCTGTCTTCTTTATTAGTTTCAGATCATCTTATAACAATATAAAGCAGTTCAACTTTTAATCTTTCTCCACAGCATTTAATATGAAATTCCATTTAGGTCTCAAATTCTACTGAATTAATTGCTGCATATCTCTTTTTATATTGTGTGTAATACAAAGTTGAATAGCCTGAGTTTTATAGATTTACATTTCTGGGATAATTCTGAAATCTAGTTAACAATTAACAATATTCAGAACTTGGTGACAAGAAAAATTTCTGCTTAACAGATTTACTGATCTTGAACACCTCGTGTGTACAGGCAGAAATACACGCCCAACAAAGAAGAATGTTTCAAAAATGTTGAACTGTATTATTCCCTTTTATTTACTCATTTATTTTCTGCCATCATTTCAATAAATATCAATTTTATCCAAAGGATATGTTAAGTCAGAGTAACAATATCCTGAATCCATATTATACACTTGTAAAAGCACAATTATTACATAGTAACTGTCTCCTTAATGTCAGCACTGAGTCATTTTGAGTCACATCTATTTAATACAAAAGTTCTGTAACCAAGAACTATCAATTACTACTACTGAGGCTATTACATTAGGAAAAAAATTTTAAACAGAGGATCTTAGTAACGTGTTGAAAAAGAAAGCACTAGTTATATGTACATTTTATAATAGCAAATAATTTTAAGAATGAAGATGAGTCACTTTTAAATTCCCCCATATAATAGTAACATTTTAATTATATACATCCTCCATTAATGTGCAAATTTCTGTCAAACCTACGTGGCTATTTCTCCCTTGTACAATGTGAACACTTCAAAAGTGCAGGATGTTCCTCTGGCTTCTATGAAAATCTTTTAATTTCTATGTTAACTCACTAATCATGTTCTTCAAAATAATGAATTTATATAACCACTATCATTTTGTAAATCTAAAGAAGTACTTGACTGCAGGATTAATATCTATATTCATAGGTTTTTAAAAAAATTTCCATAAAGACAATTATGAGAAATATTACATTATGAAATTTACAAATTCAAGACTGATTTGTCCACTGTTGATAGAAATTCAAGTCAAAATTAGTACAATCAGTGTTACTTAATATTTCAAATTAAATTTAGATTATGACTTAAAATTTGAAACACTCTTTTAGATTGCATAAGTTTATCATAGCACCAAAATCATTTAAAACAATAAGCAAAAGCTGCCAGGAAATATATTCGAGATAGTTTACAAAGAATTTGCTATAATAAATTTATCTCTGTTGTCTATCCATTATAATGATTTATTTTCTGATTTAAGACTACATAACAGTTACTAAAAATAGAAGCACCCAAACTTGGTACACAATAGTTTTCCTTGTGGCCTAAGTTTATGGTTCTTCCTTACAACATTAGCCCTCACCTGGTTTTTTAAAATTTTTTTATTTATATGTGTACCAACAGAAGCCAATGTGTGTCAGATGCCCTGGAACTAGAGTTATAGGAGGTTGTAAACTGCCTGATGTAGTGCTGGGAGCCAAACTCTGGTCCTCTGACAGTCGAGCAGTAAGTGCTTTTAATGGGAGGCCATCTTTCTAGGTCCTTTCACCCATTCTTAACCTTTTCCTAATTAGAAAAGCTCATCATTTCCAAATCAGCATTCAAAACAATTAACTGTCTAGTCATTTTAAGAGAGTCATGGAGATACATAATTCCATTTTATTTTGGCTCTGGAGACAAAAGCTTTTGTAACATGCTTGCTAATTATAGAGTACTTACTTACACATGTTCAGAGCTAACAGACTTAGTAGTGCTGGTTTCCAAATTGTAACATAACAAAAGAATTCTGATATGCATTTTTCTATGAACTGCTTGGCAAATCCACTTTTTACAACACTGAAATGGTAAACATCAACTCAAATAGTGACAATCCTGAATTGGTTGTATGCATGACTAAGCATCTAATACAATTTCAAAAACTTACTATAGTCAATGTTTTAAGCAGCAGTTCCTTCAATAAATTAAAAGGTACAAAAGCAACTAGACTTTCTACACTCTAAAGCTTCTAAGAATAAAAAGGAGTACAGTTGTTATAATTAAATACTAAATTCAGAGTAAGTAAATGACAAAGGTCATACATTAAGATAATCTCAAGACTAAGAACAAGAGAGTGGTGTATCTTCTTAAATATGAAGCATACCTTGTCATCCCCAGGGCAACGATACAGATTCTGGAAAGTGCTAATGATGTTATTACTAAATCTGGGTGCAAAGACATCCTTTTCTTGACCAAACTGATGCCGAGATTGCCGCACAATGGAGTCAATAACATAAAGTCCAGGGACCTTGTATTCTGGTTTGCACTGATGAGAAAAAGAGTGGGATGGGAAGGAAATAGAAAGGTAAAATTCTTGATAGACAAAAACCATCATAAACCCTACATAATACAAAAACCCTGCTCCTGCTGTAATGAACATTCAGACATTGCCTTGCCTTGGCTGCTCTTGCAGAAGACCCAGGGTCAGATCCCAGAACCCACATGGCAGCTAACAACCAAATGTAGCTCCAGTTCCAGAAAATCCAATGCCCTCTTCTGACCTCTGTGGGCATTGCACGGACAGGTACACTTATATATACATATACATATACATATATGCAAAACACTCATACACATAAAAATAAATGAAAACACTTAATTATCTAAGGATTTTGAAACACTAGAACAAAGAAAGAATTCCAAGAAGGAACCCTAGAAAACATTTTGCTAGCATCCATTAGGCTTCACCTGAAACATAACCCAAAAGGTTTCTATATCAGTGAATCAAATAGCAAGTTACAACATGTTAAATACATGTAGCACAGAGTTCAACATTTTTCTTAAATATCATATCTATACAAGATATGACACTACCATCATAAAAATTACTGGGGAACTTTGAAAACAATGAAACATGCAAACATTTTTCAAACTATCACTCTGATGTCTCTCAACTAACTTACCTATAATCTGTTTTGTGACGGATACCCTACTTCCTTGGCATAGGATTTTCTAGCTTTTGTGGTAGAAACATAAAAGATCTTTTACTATCAAGTTTTCTGCTTCTATTTTGTCTTTAGATCAAGAAACTAAGAAAATGCACTTTAAAATTATCTTGGGGGCTGGTAAGATGGATCAGACTTTACAAGCAATTGGCTGCTCTTGCAGAGGACCTGGATTTGGTTCCCAGCACCTAAATGGTGGCTAATAACCTTCTGTAACTGCAGTTCCAGGGGATCTGATGCCCTCTTCTGGCCTCTGTAAGCATGGCATGCACATGGACTACTTACCATATGCAGACAAAACATTCAATACAGAAAAAATAAAAGTGAATAAATCAAAAATAAATTTAAGGGGGCTAGAAAGATGGCTCAGGGGTTAAGAGCACATGCTGCTGTTGTAGAACACCTGGGTTCAGTTCCCAGCACCCAAAATGGCAGCTAACAACTGTCCATAACTAGTTCCAGGGGTCCCAACACCCTCTTCTGGCCTCCAAGGGTACTGCATGAACATGGTGCACTTATAAACATGCAGGCAAAAATATTCATACACATAAAATTAAATAATTTTTAAAATGCTAATTATAGCTACAAAAGGAGGTCTAATTTGGGTGTACAATTAGGTCAAATATAGCACTCAAATTTATTTTCTGGAATTATGTATCCAGCAAAAGCAAAACATTTCTTTTTAAAAAAGATTTATTAATTTTTATCTCGTGGTATATGAGTGTTTTGCTTGGATGCACATATGCATACCACATTCATGCCTGGTGCCCTGGATGCCAGAAGAGGGCACTGAATCCCCTGGAACTGGAGTTACAGACTGCTGTTAGCCACCATATGGATCCCTGAGAACTGAATCCAGCTTATCTACAAAGTAGTCCATGCTCTTAACCACTCCAGCCCAAAAAACACTTCTTGAGGGACTCTTCTTGGAAACCTAGTAGTGCGCAAAGAATCCTTAAACCAGTCTTTAATAGCTACAACATGCAGATTTCTGAAAGGCTACAGCTAAGACAATGAATAATTTAAACCTACAAGAAGTCTAGTGGACACTTGCTATGTTTCTTAAAATCTTGAGAATCTTAAGTCAAGAAAATGAGCAGAAACTTAAACAGTAACTCAAAGGAACTGATTTTCCAAGACTTTGACCACTAAGTGCTTGAAATAGTTCACAAGGGGCAATAATGGTGGTGTTTGGGTACTTAAATGTAAAATAAACTAAGATCAAACAACGTTTACCACTCTATTTTGAAACCTTGAGGTTTTTCCTCACATCCCCCTTAACCTAGAATTTTCCTTCAGTTCATCTATCTAGCCAACGGTATCTTTTTTTTTCTACCATACAAAGATTAGTTGCCTAGCTAAACAATGCATCTCAGTATTTATTATTTTTATGTGTATGCGTATATTGCCTGCATGTAGGCGAGTGTACCCGTGTTGTGCAATGCCCGTGGAGGACAGAAGAGGCTGTCAGATCCCCTGTAACTGGAGTTATGGAGAGTTGTTAGCTGCCATGTGGGTGCTGGGATTTGAACTCGGGTCTTCTGCAAGAACAGTCAGTGTTCTTAACCACTGAGCCATCTCTCCAGCCCCAAAACTTTTTGAACTCAATGAATAAGATATCCACTCTGGGGGGAAAAAAACACTGCTCATGCTACTTAGTAATTAACGGTTTATTGACCAATGAATTAGCTTTTAATAATCTTACATGTAATGTATTTTATAAAACTGATTAACTTCAAAGGCTTTGAATTGAATTTGAAAATTGCTATGAGACCTTTAAAAAACTGGGCATGGTGTCACACACCTTAATCCCAGTACTTGGCTGGGGAAGCAGAGGAAGGCAGATCTCTGTGAGATCAAGGCCAACCTGGTCTATGTAGCAAGTTATAGGCCAGCTGGGACTACAAGAAGACCCTGTCTCAAAAATCAAAAAAGAAAAAATTTTAATGCTGAGTAGTAAGTAAAGCAAGTAATTAATAATGTAGTTTTCACAATGTCTTTTCCTTTGATTTGTAACAAAACTCTAATTACAAATTTATAATACAGAGGTACACACTACAATACCTTTACGAAAAAGTCAATGACTAAATCCTCAAAACATTAACAGTTCTAGCACCAAGCAGTAAGGTGTAAGGAAAACATGTTCTTTTACCACAGATCTTCAGGTGCTCATTCCATGACTGTTATCATGGGATAGAACTTCTTACACCAGTAGATATGTGATATGTTCCCACACAGGATAGCTGGTCTCAATATGCCTGTGCATGTGACATGTGTAGCCAACCCACCTACACACTCAATCACACACACCTACGCACACAGGAAAATTAACCTCTGGGGCAAATTAGGTGGGACGTGAAATAAAAATAGAGCTTTAAAAAACTTTTTAATGGCTAAAAAATCCTTTCCTATGTATTCTACCACAGAAACAGAATGAACTTCTATGCTCACCTTAAATGTAAACTGAGAAACATCTGCAAAAGAAGCAGGACCCCAGAACAGGTAACTAGCAAGCCTGACAGCTCACCAACACTAGGCTGTTTGTCCTAATGTAGTCTCACGGATCTGCTAATTCCTACCAAGATTCTGTTGCTACTCTTTCTCTGTAGATTAGAAGTTTGCCAATCTCTCCTCTAACAAATACATGATGGTAAATACTTTTCCATGATTCATCTTCCTAAAGATTCCAATTCTCAGATACCAGCTTCCACTCTCATTTCTAACTTTTAAAAGTGCTCTATCAGGTTTTTAACATTTTGGAAACTCAGGGTCACACACTACAAATTTTCAAGGTCTCCAACGTAAGGGAGCAAATCCCTAATAAGCAACAAGGTCACGGAGGAGTAACGAAGACGGCATACTTCCTGCTGCTTCTTGTTCTGGCAGGAAGTCTTATTTTGTGTTTAACTCCAATGAGGACCCCTTCAACTGACATGCTTAGAGTCACACAGACCTGGACACCTCGGCTGAGAAATGTGACCTTATCAGCTTTCTTCTCTTTGTTTAAATTGAACAATCCAAAATTAGAAAAGGAGAAACCACTAAAACTCTTAAAATCCAGATTTTCCCCAGGGGAGACTGAATTTCTGTTTCAGGGTCCCCTCTCGACACTTCTGGCGAGCTTTATCTTTCCTGTATGTGTGTATGTTTGATTCTTGGGTGGAGAGATGGCTCCATGCAGGCAATGCACTCATACACATAAAATTTAAAAAATAATAAGCCGGACATGGTGGCGCACGCCTTTGATCCCAGCACTAGGGAGGCAGAGACAAGAGGATCTCTCTCTGTGAGTTCGAGGCCAGCCTGGTCTACATAGCGAGTTCCAGGCCAGCTGGAGCTATAGGGAGACCCTGTCTCAAAAAAGACAAAAATAAAAATAATAATAAATAATAATAATAAATAAATAAAATGCCCATATAGATGTGATTCTTTCAACAAAAGCTTGTTTGACTACTGCTCTCTGCTGGTCTGAGATTTTTTTCTGTCTTTTAATTCTTTAATTGGCTAAGAAAATGAACTTAACAATACCCCTAGACTGATTAACGATGCCAGCCAACACCTAGAACTCTCTGAAGACTATCCATGTATCCCTTCTGGTGTCAATGAAACTGCATTCATTACTCTAATTAATCTGTCCTTACATTATGGTTCTCTTATAGAATTAAAACAGCACTCAGTAACATGCCATAAAAGAATGTTAAAATAATCAAGTAAATTCACTTCTATATTCACAGAGGTCTGCTTGATCCAGAGACAACAGAGTACTTGACTGGATTACCTACCAACTATGTGTAAACTGTTAGACCCTCCCTAATCTACATGGAGCAATTCATTGCTCTATTCAATATAAAAAATATCAGTATATAATTCAGTATATAGGTAATGTTTTTCAAACACAGTGGAAGCACCATCTACACAGGGTTGATGTGCTCTCAAGATTTCCAAATTGAACTCTGTAAACAGCACCAACAGTACTGATCACACAATACAGACCATTCTAGATTTTTAAGTATAAAATTTATAGTTTAAAGATCCTACTAGCTAAGAATTTCTAAGAAATCATAGGGAACTTTATATACTTTCCTTAATAGTTCCACAAAATGTTTCCTAAGATGTTTCATTTACGTAAGATTCTATTATATACCCCAAACATTCATGCTATGCGGTGTCTGTAAAACCTGGTAAGTAGCTAATTTACACAATGCAAACAAAAAGTTTAGTAAATAAGCTATGTCCCAGACTTCATGGACATCCAATATTAGTTTGGTAAAAAATCACTAATGGACTAAATACACATACTCTTCTTAGCTGACCCTATGAG